TCGTGAAGTTAAATAACGCAAACAAACATCCAGAGGAAAAAAAGTGACAAATTATTTTTAAATGCACATTTGTTGTATTTTGCTTTAATTTAACAGGGTTAATTTTTTTTAAATTAAATTGCGTCAAACAATGTACATTTTGGTGTACATAAAGTATTGAAAATGCATATAGTTCCTACTCTGTATTCAAACGCGCGGTGACAACGTTTCGTGTTTGTTATAAATATTTGAACGTCGTAGATTTCTAATGGAGTTCATAAAGAAAATTACACTGAATGTAAATATTTTAAGAAAAAATACAGATTAAAGCATGAGAAAGTTTATTATCCTCACAATGCAATTATATTGAATTACGGACAGATGATAGAAATAAAAAAAAAATAGATGCCCGGGTTGGTACATATTTTTTTTACCTAATGTCATTGCAAATGATACAAATAATCAATTAATTCAATATAAAGAAATTACAAACCACCTGTGACGTTCAAAATTCTATCCCCCTGAAACCACTTATTATTCTATACAAGTGTTTTTCAATTCAAATTCCATTTTTGCGCAACTTTACTTTCAAAATGCAAATACATTGAATTAACGCGGTATAAACTTGCAGAGCGTCAATGAAGAATGAGTGCGCCGAATATCATAGTTTGAAGAATAGATATCCCATCAATATTTTAAATTACGAACATACAGCAGTCTCTCTTATCTTGTCAATCATAGAATGAATCCAAACATTGAATATTACAGTTTAGCGGTTTGATATGTCATATCAAATTTTTTAATGAGTGATTGCCCCTGAAATTTTTTGCTGTTAACAGAGAATTAAAAAAAAAATTAAACGGTAAGTCGCAGAGACATTGAATCAACCACATATGACTTTTTTGTCAAGGAAGGATATGGAGATAGCGAAAAATATTCAGTCTTGTTTAAAGTCATCATTTCGTAAGTTCTATGGTCGATACAATGACCTTGTTAGCAAATACAATTTATCATTGAGTCAAATGCTGACTGATGTTTTTCATACCAATTATTATTTATACACTGAATTGACGACTGAAATTTCCGTTATTTCACGATCATGACAATGAGCACACGCGCAGTACAGTTAAGGCAACACATGAAAAAATTATGGTAATGAAGTCATAATGAGGTCTGACGTCATGACAGTTGCTCCGCCCTGATTGATCCATATAAGGAAATGGTGCTCAAAATAACTATTCACCGATATTGGCAACAATTTGTAATAAACAACAATATCTTCATGTTTAAATAGAAAATAATTAGTGATTTTCTCGTATATAAAATAGCATGTCTTTAAAATAATTCTCTTTTTAATGTGTCGTTTGTCTGCATTCGGCTTCAGCCAAGCGCTTGCACTCGGTGACACGGAATGTTGTTTACATCTGAAAACGTGGCGACATCAGCTGAGATTAGCAGTGGATTTAAATGCAATAACCACACAATCTTTAAAGAAAATAGGGATAAAATAAGAGACAAGGCATTGCTTCTCCATTTTACAAGAATATGAGGACATTATTTCGGAAAATAGCAGAAAACTGAGACGATTTGCACCAGCTCTAGCTCCGTAGATCAATCACTGCACTGTAATTCCAGGCCAGGTATGTATACGCATATGCAGGTACATGTATAGATCTACATGTAGACATGCTTTTGTTAACATAAAAAAAACCGAGTGTGTTCAATTTCATGTTCATTTAAATGTATTAGTACAGTCAGTGAAAAACTGTAATTATGCAGTGCCTTGTGTGTAACAACCCCCTCCCCCCCCCCCCCACACACACTAAGTTGCACACTTTTTAGAATTATTAAAAAATTAATTGCACTAAATATGTACAGAGTTCCTGTCAATTAGCTCATTTTCTTTGCGACAATATGTGTAATAATGGAGATCATCAGTAACACAAATTTAGACTAAATTGAAAGAGATGCAGTTTTCATTGTTTCAGTCAAAGATTCACGTAGTGACTAGGCTAAACAAACAATGATGTATTTTGACATACAAATATGCTACACAATTTACAAAAAAATATCCGTAACATTGTGTTGAAAACATAAAAGCCCCACTTCAGATCTATGGTTGTAATTTTCTAAAATTTCTAAATTAATGAAAAAAAAATATTTTTTTTGTTTAGATTACATGTACATTAAAAATATTTATATAATACTTTTATCATTGTAGCTGTCCAGAGTTTCAGGCCTAAAGCGTGAATGAATAAAAAATGCATCATTTCTCCACAGGGTATGTATACTTCTAAAGCATTTCACATTTTCAAAGTTTGCATGTGCTTTACATATTGTTTTTTTTTCATTTTGGTAAAGAAGAAACTTGGAATTTTTAAAATAGAAAATATTCTATCAATAACTATTGTAAATGTCAGAGGTTTCACTTTCCCAGAGAAGTTTTGTAACACATTTTTTTTTTCATTTATATCAATAACATAAATTCACTACAATATACAATGTAGCATAATTTGTTTTGTCAAATGTAATGGTATTTTATCCTACAATGTATATTTAGTAATTCATAGCATATAACTGCATATATATTGTGTTGTAGGCCTAGCTATTCCCAGATGTTGGACAAATGGATTCATTTAGGCAGCATGTTAATCCTGCCCTGCATTCCTACAGTCTGTCAATGGATTTGAAAAGAAATGTTTATTAAATAAATTTTCTAGATGAATAATAATTTGACTTTTTCATATATTTACTCCACAGGTGTTGAAAAGGCCATTAAGATATGAAAATCTTAACTTTCTTACTATTTTGTGTGGAGGGTACTAATGATCATCAAGATCTTATTTCCAGCATGTGCATTGTGTTCATTTATCTTTCAATACTATTACCAAAAACAGGAGACTAGAGATCCCCCTAATTGACTCAAAATAGGATAGGGGACCACCATTTGTTCTGAGGGAAGGGGGGGGGGCAGGCGAGTTTTTCCAAGTCAGATTTTTTTTTTCATTTTCATGTCAATGAAGGACAGATTAATACTTATTTCTGATCAATAAGATGAAGGACAGATTATTTATTTATTTTCCTCTTCTTTAAAAATACTACATGTAAAAAAAATGTAAAAATAAACTCTGATTCGTGGGAGGGGGAGATCACTGATCTGCAAGTATTTATTTTTAAAATCTGCCAGTCCCTCACCCTCAAAATAAAATAGCTGTCCCCTTAACAAAAACAGGAGTATACCCCAATTCTTTCTAATTACAATTGTGTAGTACCTTAAACTTATAACTTAGTTTATATCCCTTAATTAACAGTAAGCAGTCTGATTGAAAGCGATCGTAGAACATGACCTCGTATGCAGAAAGAAAAAAAATTATAACACAAGTGTGTGTACCATAGGCGTCGGAAGCAAAATGAAAGGGGACTGATTGAAAGGGGATGGGGGTTTTGGGGGCTAAGCCAAAAGAAAAAGGCAAATTCCAATGCCTACATTATGTATATAATTTGCAAATAAGTAGGGAGGCTAAGCCTCCCCCCCTCCCCGGTTCCGAGGCCTATGCGTACAGTAGTGAGAGAGGGGAATAGATATCTAATTAATTATTAATGAAGGCTTTATTTTAATTAACCATTTGTGTTCTATATAAATATATCAGCAATATTTGAACCTATTTGTGTGTAATACTACGTGTATATACACATCGTTGAGGAAATGCGGGAGGTTTGAAAAACATCAAATGTATACAAAGTATGGAGAACGAATACACAGAAAAGAAAGAAATGTCAAGGATTTTTATGCATACCGTTTGATTTAGTAAAAAAAAAAGAGTCAAGTCCTGCCCGCATGTATATTTATTTTAAATTTACGAGGTAAACAAACTATATCAAGTACTCCAGAGTTATCTCCCATGCTGGGTCAGTGATGCGTTTGAAAACTATAATTAGGTTGACTCTTCCAAGATTTCATTTTTTAATCAAAAAGTGCAAGGGCAAGGCGACAATCTAAAAAGTAGGTGTTTATTTTAAATTATTTATTTTATTGCATAGTTTTCAAAAAGTGATGCCCATTACTTTGTAATTCTTTAGTTAATTTATAATTCGTGATGAAATTAGGAAAATATCCTATTTTTCATGCATTACTGTCTGATTTAGCTGAATAACTTAATTATATGGGAAAACTAACTGAATGAGCATCACTTTTGAGAAAGTATAGATACATAGAGACAACATAAAACATTGTGCAGTTAATTTTTTGCTTGTCTTGCCCTTGCACTTTTTGGTTAAATTTGACATTTCATTTTTTGACCTAAAATCGGAGCCCACGTGACTTCAGGGGGTCACATGATGTCAAAAAATACCGATGTGAAAAGCGATGGACATACTCTTGAAGATCACAAAAAGCTGTTTTAACTAGAGTGTCTTGCTAAAAAATAAAACTGTTAAACATTATATGTATCGGATTCCGTGACTTTTTATAGAAAATGTTGCCTTAACTGTACTGCGCGGTTGGTGTGACCGGTCAGCAGGGGATGCTCACTCCTCCAGGGCACCTGATTCCACCTCTAATGTTTCGGAAGTTATCTCCTTATCCTCTCAAAGTCCATAAAACATACAAAACAGGAGCAGAGCAGACACGGACATTCGAAAAATCAGGTAGGATCAGGTGCCATGGATGAGTTAGCATCCCCTGCTGACCGGTAACATCCGCTGTGTTCTCCTTGTCATGATCAGGAAATATTGGAAAAATCAGTCGTCAATTCATTGAAATTCAGGGCATGAAAAACGTCAGTGAGCATTTGACTCTATGAAAATTTTATTTGTTGACAATGACATTGTTACGACCACAGAACTTACAAAATGATGGCTTTAAACGAGGCGTCTGATATTCTATTTTCATCACTTGCTTGTAAATAATTTATCTCGTTTTAAAAATTGTTCATACATAAGTTCACAGGCCAAGAGCATTTAAAATATGAGATTAAATTGGAATGGAACATACTCCCGGTCCAGAGATTTTCATGAGCATGTTCCCATATATATATACCCAGAAGTCACATAATATTGAAAAAAAACAAAAAAACTTTGAATCAACGTTGATTATACACCTTGATTCAACGTATAGTTTATGTTAGATTTTGAAAATTGAGTTCAACGTTGAAATCTCAACGTTGATTTAATGTTGAAAATCAATATTGATTAGACATTGAATCAAAGTTAATTCAAGGTGGTTTTTATTTATTTTTATTTTAACCATTTTATTACAGGTTACTAAAATGTTTTTATAATTCTATAAAGGAAAACATACCGTATATGAACAATATCTATATATTGTAAACATTTATTAAACTTATGATTTGTGTTACAATAAATTTCACCAAAACACATTTTATAAATTAATCACGTTACAAAATCCGAGCATTTACAAACGTTTTGTTTTTTTTTCACATGTGGTCATGAAATAGTCCAAATCTGAGAATTTATAATTCACCAAAAGAACATTTTCCCATTCCCCCATGTCCACACAGACATAGTTTCGTCCCAGATTTGATCCTATAGCAGTGCCCTCAGTTTTGATATAATGTTTATTGTTGAAACTAAAATTATTCTTATCCAGGACAGCATCCATCATTTCTAGAACACTGTCAGTGTTTTCTTCTCCTTTCTGTCGTTCTTTTAGAATCTTTTTAATCAACGTCTCTATTTTTTTGGGTATATTGGTAATGGAATATTTTTTAAAAAAAGTTATAAAGTATTTTTATTATATATAGGGAATGACGCAATCTACGCCCTAACAAAGGATAAAAACCAAGAACTCCGAATTGATCTCCAGAGACATAACGGAGAACAGACCTATACTGTGTATACCACATTTTACATCGGGGATGAAAACAATAAGTATACTCTGACAGTATCTGGATACAACGGAATAGGGGGTAAGTAGTTTTATTCACCAATGCTCTCGGAGTGAGGTATTGTAGAGACCGGTAAGAATGGTTTCAAAAGTTGCGGGAAGGTCAACCTCACAAAAAGTCTGACAAAAAAAAATGTAAATCTTTGAAATAATTATAAAAAAGATGGCCCTATGTTCGAAGAATGAGAGATGTTTCAGCTATATTATAAAGGGGTTATTGAACTTATATAGGTAAAGGTTGGCACTCATCGTCTGTACAGATTCACTCGCAAGCTTGTGCATTTGTACAGCCGACTTTTGTCAATATTCACCAATAAAAGTTCAATAACTCAATAATATTATGTGGGGTAACTATTTAATATCTTAAATATTATTTTCTTGCTGTGTTGCTAAAAATATGAATATCCAATACAGGTCAAAGTTCACAATGACATCTACAGATGCGGTATCTTTATAACGACATATCATTCATTAATAAGTAGGCATTAATGTTCTTTACAATTTGTTACAGGTGACAGTTTATCGTATAACAATGGAATGAAATTTACTACAAAAGATCAGGACAATGACTGGAGTGGTGGTAACTGTGGTGTATCATATTACGGAGGGTGGTGGTACAAGGACTGTGCCCTTGGGAATCTAAACGGACTGTACGGACAGTCTGGGGTGTATGGTTGGCAATACATGACATGGTATTACTATGCAGCAACAACTGAGACATTTAAACAGACTTCGATGATGGTTAGAAACAAAAACTAGAGTTTGTCTATCAATAATCCGGAAATAATAATAATATTATTATACTGAATGTTAACTGTTGCTAAATTTTATCTCGCTGTAGTGCGTAGCGTAGTTCCATGATTCAGAGGGGGGTATTAACATGTTTTTAAAGAAATGTTTCGCGACGACTTAAATATTAGTAATTTACATGAAAGTATATTGTTGGTTGTGTGCAGATACCAGATTTGCATAGTTAAAATGGCACGAAGGAGCATAACTGCTGAGTTAAATTTAAGACCAAGGCCATCGGATCTCTGCACAATATCAACAATATTATATAGACTAAGCAACATGCACCATTGTTTAGTAAAACTGACCGCATCAAAGTATTTTATATGTAAGAATTCTCAATGATTGGTATTATCGAAAATTGTACTTGTTTTTAACATGTTTAAATTAGACATTTTGATTTTAATTGATTTTTTCCACAAAACTTTATTTGATTTTAATATCTTTATTTACCAGTTACCTATGCTCTTGTGACATGGTGTACGGTGGCATAGAGGGTCTTGTTTTTATTATTGTTTAAAGCATTTAATAATATACAGAAATCCGTACATTAAGAATAGATAGAATACAATCTAAACTTCAATTATTTCAGAACTTTTTTTGTATGTAATGTATCAAGTTTTCTTTTTGGATACTTTGAATAGAATGATATCGGAATCATTTGAGAGGTACTAAAAAAATAATGACAATATGATAATGTCTCACTGGTCATGAGGAAAAAAAAACAATTTGGCACTTTCTTTTTATTTGTCAACCCAAGTCAAAGTCTAAAATTTCTTGATTCATAATTATCGTCATATGTATTTGTTATGAAGCTTTTTGGGGGTCAAATTTGGACTATCTCGCATATATACCTAGAAGATCTCTGATCAATGTTTTAAAATCAAATTAATAAATCCATTCTCGATATTTAAATGAAAATATCATATAAGATGAATAGATGTAAAAGATGGTAATTAAATCTAAAATAGGACTGGTTACTTTACTGTGTATTAACGGTAAAACCATTTTTTTAAAGCGGGATCGGTATTCTTTAAGGCCTTTGTTAGACATTGATTAAACCTAGACTTATTTCTCTTTCAGAAGATATTGAATTTCCAATCCCCACCTCAACATCGGAAAAATAATAACCTAACTTCCCTTCTTTAAAATTCCATATAATAGGAAACTCGCATTTTTTGTCATCAATAAAAAATTCTAATATAATTTTTTTGACTTGAGATAAAAGGTTATTGTTGATCATGACTTGACAGAAAACTCTGTGTGATGTTCCCATTGATACATTAGTTAATTAGTTAAATATTTTGACTTATTCATTAGGTCACCTGCGTCACTCAGGTGACCTATTGCTATCCGTTTTCGTCGTTCGTGTGCATTGTTCATCATGAGTTGTGCGTAGTGTGATAACATTTGAAAATTTTCAGCTTCTCCTCTGGATTTGTAGAACCACTTACAAAGATTTCTGCCATATGGCATCTATGAGTAGTAAAGATTTTTTTTTAATATAAATTTTTATCGTCCCTGTCGCCTTGGAGCCTGCGAAGTAGGATAACCATCCGAATTTATTACAATATCTAAAAAAAACTTTTTTCTTTACTCCTGGACATTATACGGTCTAACTGTTGGTGTGATTGTAATAACCACTACGTCATCTACTTAAATTATACAATTCATGGCCCTGTGGTCAGGTTCAGGTGTTTTCAAGTTTGTTGGGATGCCAGAGACACTGACAATTAGAAAGTTAGAATATGTAATCATAATCGTAATAATCAGAATTTTGAACTGTCGTTAATGCCTGGCATACCTTAGTGATTCATCTAATGTAGTACAGATGAGTTTCTTGTCAGTCACTAATATAATACCACATCAAATGTAGTAAAACATAAATGTGTATAATGTGTAATAATAATATGTCTATTATTAAAACAATGAATGTTTTGTGGATAACATTGTGAAACTTATTGTATACTAGTATTTTTTTTTAACTGTTAAGTGTCAGTTTTGAAATATAATGCACGCAATTTAGACTATGTAATGTGTAAAGGGTTTGTGTTCATTTGAGTAACGAAAACCCAATATTATTTTTAAATATTGGCATTTAGGAAAGACGCGGACACCTGGAAACACCAGAAAAATTCACTTTGTTTTTAAAATTGATTTTCTGAATTTCAAATTAAAAAAAAACACTTTCATTGAAGAACACTAGCACAATTTACCAATAAAGTCGTAATGACCACAAGATTTTATATTGAGGTTTTAAATACTTTGGAAACAAGTTTTCGATTTACAAACTCGCTAGAACAGTTCGTTTCTAACAATTAACAGGACCATTTTGTCGAAACAAAACACAGACACACAGAGAAACCATGTTCAATATATCTTTACGTTATTATGAATAGCTGTTTGAATTGTGAATTTCAGCTTAAAATATCTAAATAATTCTTCCCTAGTCCACCTGGGGTTATTTTTTTATTTTTTATTCAAACAATGTCTTACTCTATAGGTCTCTGTGTTTTTGCTCCGACAAAGTGAACATTGAAAATTGGAGAGCTGATCCAGAAGAAATGTTACAACCGAATTAAATTCATTATTAATCAGCAATTTTGTTTAAAACAATATTTGACATATAAATACCACTACTATAATTTTGTTTTTGCCATTAAAAGATTTCATTTCATAATATGAAATATTTCTTTTGAGTATTAAGATATAATCAACGAATGTGCTTTTTAAAGATTTTAACTCTTTTTATTTTGCTATATTTACATTTTCAAATTCTTCCCTTTAAATAACACTATACTGAAAGTAATGCGTATCTTTAACTGCAGGTTCTTCGAACGTCATGAACGTTCGACGTAATTTCTCAGTGACGTCATACAGGGTCGACACACATTCAATGGATTACATGTAGGCCTATGCCGTTGAATTTGAAATATAAAACACTTCACGCATTAAAAGTTATAATCAGGCAAATATAAAATATGAATTAGTAAAAAATGTAAATATAAGTAATAAGGTATTATTTTATTGGACAATAAATACAGGTTGGTACGAGATCAAATTCACCATAAAGCCCGAAGAAAGGCTTTTTGGAAAATTGATCCCGTGACCAAATCGTATTCATATTCCAATATATGTTTTAAAAAAGATATCTTATTTCGACTTCTTAAATAACTCTTGTTTTGAGTTGTACTATTAAAATCATTTTAATGTTGCCAAACGTTGTTTTTAAATTTATCTTATGCGTAAATCTTATGTTTCATCAGATTCAAAATATGTGTAAAAGAGAAACGTTCGAATTCTTGTCATGTGACGATAATTATAAACGAGACCAAACGTTGCGTTTATTTTAATATTTTTTGATCGATTATATATCATATATACAATCAGGCTTTATGATAAACATTGTGATTTTAACTTTTCAATCGTCAACTTCCCTTACCTACACTGTAATGTGCCTTCATCATCTGTGTACACGGTATATATTTTTCAGTTGATTCGATACACAAGATCATGTTCTGCGTGTTCATTATATACCTAATGTGTATCATTCAAATTTACTGTTGATTTTATGCAATCACGTGACGTCGTGATCCGACTTTCCGGATCACCACACTGTGGTTTTCTGATTCTATATCACCACTTTCTGTAACTGATGACGTAGTACGCAGAAATATGACGTTATTTTTCTGGAGCGTTAAAATGTCCTTTGTTTTAATGCTTTGTTTATTGAATTAATATTATTCCATTGATCTCTAAAGGATTATTTTAATATATTTAGCAAGTTATAAGGGAGTATATAATAAATTTATCATTATAACAGTAACTTGATCCGAAGAGCCGTATCACGTCCCGTTGACAGGCGCGGATCATCAGATCAAACTCGACGCTTTGCGTCTCGTTATATCTGATGATCCGCGCCTGTTAACTCGACGTGATACGATCCTTCGGATCAAGTTACTGTTATAATAATATATTTGTACAATTTTCTAAAACGAGATAAATTATTGACAAACAATATGACGAAACAAGAATATCAGCCCTCTCGCTAAGAGTCCTCATTTCGTCCTTGTCAGCAAATACAACTTAGCATCAAGTCAAATGCTGACTGACGTTTTTCGGACTACTTATTAGGCCATTATTTATTATTGTCGACGGATTTTTCCGTTAATTTCCCAATCATGACAAGGAGTACACGGCGGATGTTACGAGTCGGCAGGGGATGCTCACTCCACCATGGCACCTGATCCCACATGTGATTTTTTATAGGTCCGTGTTTGCTCTGCTCCTATTTTGTATTGTTTCATGGACTTTGAGATTGAATATATCTCCATATATTTCCAAAAGTATTGCCTATTTTTGAATGTTTTAGGGTAAAAGTCAAAATATGCAGATGCATATTGTACTTACATTTTTTATGAATATTTTCGACTTTTAAAGATTTTATAGTATTTATGACATTAGTTTTGGATCAACCCTTTAAAAATACTTATGTTTGAGTAATAGTACTAGCCCATTCCATTTTTTAAAATATACATTTGTTGTTAATCGCTAACAATATTGTAAAGTTTTTAAGAATGCTGTGCTTTTTATAATAAAATCATTAATATTTTATATCTTGTCTTTTTTTGTTTTTATCTTGTCATTAACATATGAGGAAAGGATTTTTTATTTGCCAATGATATTAAGAGCTAATTACATTTATTCTGTTGCATTAAAGTAGGAGGGAAAATCAGTGTAGTTATAGAAGGTATCGGCATCTATAGATCTCTGTAAATCACGGGTTTAGGGGGCGCTTGAGTCAGTGGAGAAGTGGACAACATCAAGGTACATGACAAGTGTAATGACACAAAATATATTTATCCCTTGGAAATAGTAGACGCTTCGATCTACTGACACCCAAGGATTAGTGGACACTTAATACTACTTATATACAGAGACTAGTAGAGACCGTAATCTAGTTATATGGA